GATTACAGAGGCTGATGAAATAGTGAAGGAAGATCATCCCAGCATCATTGGTATGATGATAGCAAAGCTGATGCTAAACCATTTCAAGCAGGGGATTTTTTAAATACGTTTTTCATTCTACTGTACCAACAGGAAAATGCCATAAATTGTTTCAGCAGTTGGATGGACCCTATTAAATACTTTCAAGTGAGTGGTGATTATGGTTTTACACCAGAAATGGATCCACACATTGTACCATATCGGGAATTGAAACCGGGTCTTCAGCGTGACGAGCAAACGCTTTAACCACTAGGCTACCCGACCGCCCCCAAATACTTTCAAACCTTTGTGTTGTGATCTATAGAATTTTAACCATAAGAAGATGGTAGTCCATCGTAATAGATTCAAATTGTGCAATAATATTCGTAATAATAACCCATCCACATCTTCATTGAATGTCAACCCTGTGCCTCAGACACTCCTCAACATTTTAAAGACTGGAATTGTTCATTCAAGTGAAAAACAGTACTGGGTAGTAATGGATTTTGTCTTTCTCAACGGTGAAATAAGTCGCATTCCTTTACAGAAATTGACTTCTCCGTGCCTGTGTTACCCAGCAGTCTTCTATTAGAGGAAGGGAGAAGAATGAGACGGCCCCCGCCGTGGCTGAAGGACTATGTTCAGTGAACAGTGAACAGGGAACTATGAACTGTAAATATGTTATGTCTGTAACTGGTATACGTCACAGGCGTCCCGCATACTGTGGCTGAGGACTGTGTCCAATGAACAGGGAACCACTATGGTTCTATGATGTCAGTGTCTCGTTGTTTTTGTGATTATTTCTTTGCATCTTTTATTAAATGTTATATGAATAGTGATGTTACTGAATGTGAACTGTTACATTAATCTTGTTCCTATTGTTGTTAGACAAGTAAAGCAACTATCGTTTGTATGTATATATACATACTTAAGTACTTAGTCAAAATGAGCTCACAAAAGAATATCTTAATGTAGGTTACTCAAGACGAATTAATCTTTGTCACTAGAGCTGTTGTACATACATACTATTTTGATATAACACGCAGACGTGAGCCATGTTTCAAAGGGGTGGGGGTGGGGTGGGGGTGGGTGGTGGTGGGTAATGTTAAATGTTAGTTCATAAAGATATAACGAGATCTCGCGAGACCGAGACTCCGTTCAAGATAACGGCGCCCAGCGATCATGGATCGCGTTAGATGTGGCCAGTATAACTTGTAACTGGTAAGTAATGTTCAATGTGTATATATGACGTAAGGTAGGTAAGTTGCTGTGTTTGGTGGGTTGGGGTGTGGTGTGGTGATTGAAGGGCGGTTTAACGTTAGTCTGGTTGAGAGTGCTGATGTGTGCAAACATGTTATCGATTATACAACCGAATAAATAACCTTGACTCAAGGCGTTGTGTTATCACTGGGCTACGATCTAACAAAGTGGGCAAAGCGGAAGTATCAGTTAAAAAATAAAGTAGGTCATTCCGCCTTGACATGACAGTCCCTGGTGTGTTTGTTTGACATGCCCCTTCTGCTTGAGAAATCAGGACTACCCTTAATCTTCTTCAAGGTGTACAGCTACATGTAAGAATCTACGTTTTGACATATTCACATTCACACACTGAGTATGGGTGTTCAAACAAGTGCTTCAATACCCTCGTAACGTTTTTCTCGTATTGTGCGTAAGAAATGGTTCCTTAGTCGAACAATATCAGACCTCTCGCATAATGCATGTCTGTTTTCGGAGCCTACTTTTTTGTAACGGAAACCAAATTTGTGTAGCAATTTCAATAACTGATATTTTGAAATGGTCAAAGAATTATTTGTCTCTCTATATTTTTTTAGAGTACGGAGAGAGACATAGATATTTTGTTTATACAGAGTCTTAATGGCGTTTCTAACTATCTCTTGTTGAAATGAATCGACTTTAAAACATCGCTTGGGTTTTGAGATGGTCCCCTCAGGTGTGTCACTGCAGGTTGAATCAGTACACTTTGTTAACATAGTTTTTAACTTCCCTTCTGTTATCCCAACTGCACGTGCAGTTCATAAACGATACTTTTTCAAAGCATATTGTGGTCTACCTTTTTCACAATCTTTTTAAAAAAAATTGAAGACGTTGCAAATAATTGACTTAGCACCGAGTGATGTTCTCATTGTTTCAGGTATAGCAATCACGCATCTATGGTTTGCTCAGCAAGCCTTACGTCACTTTCGCACATGAAACTCGCCCACCTGGCTGTTCTATGAGCGACTGGTCCTCCCTGGTATGGGATGGCGAAAAATGTCAACAATATGATGATCGTTTGTAAAACAATTTTTTGATTCGGGTGTCCAAAATTATGAGACAAACCATCAGAGTTGGTCTGTCCAATTCATGTCGCTGTGCACATTTTAGTTTTGTTGCAATTTTTGGATTTTGAGTTAGTGAGCAATTCATCGGTCTCAAATGGAATCAAACGGACTGTAATAATTTATTGTATTGCCGTTCCTGGTCCTCGTGTAAATCAATTACGCCAAGACATTGCCCCTCGCCTTGTCCGCCGCGGCTCGGCTCCGTCAAGGAGTGATTGGTCTAACGACACTTACTCCAAGTTGTCTCGATCAGCATTCACACACGCACAATAAAGAAACGCAACACCAGTTTTATACTCACATAGTTTTACTTACTCTCAGTCCATCTATCAATACAGGACAGGATCAGACCGGCCAGACTCGTCACTAACTGGGGAAACTTAGAACGATCGGGATTCGACTCGATCGATTGCAAACCGCGCTCTCCTCTCCTATCATTTTATAGTGTTCGAGCCTGGCCTGTCCTTGTCACATGTCACAATACCTCATTTTGATTCGTTAAAAGTTAGATCTGACCATGAACTCATGTGTGTCGTAATCGGAAAAATACAGAAGCCTACGTGCCAGATTGCTCATCTCTCTATTCATTTTGTGACACGCATCCGGAAGCTCCAAATGAAATATACCTTGAAACTCTCTATTTGTTTCATTAACTAATGGACGATAGCCAGGAACCAATCCAATGATAATTATGAAATGGCCAGAATACACTTGTGATACATGTGAAATGTCTTATCTATTGATTCCTTTCAAACTAAAAGTTCTGTCAAACTATATCTAATGCAACTCCTCATTGCAGCTATAACGGTTACCATTTTCTAATGTTTTTGGGATGCATTTTTAACCTTATAACAGTTCTTTGCACTGTAACTTATCCCAGGAAGCAGATAGGTCTTGTCATATCACGGTCTCATTCTAAGTAATGGTAAAATAAGACAATGTTATCAGAGACAACACGCCCATTTTAGTGGGTACTACTTATATTTAAATGGATAAAAGAAAAAAAAAAAATTCGTTCTTAGAGAGTTTATTAATTAATCTTAAGTGTGAATTTTGTACGAATATAGCGCATGTCTGTTTGCTATGAATATACATTAATATAAAAGGAATGAAATGAAAACTTTAGCTAACCAACTTCTACTACTCTACAATGGGATTGTAGTCGTGAATGTGAATTTTGGGCCACCAACGTGCTCACTAACCTGATAGGGCTATAGTTAAAATTACATGTACTTGTTATGTAAGGTATCAGTCTCACTTAAAATCACCACATGTGCAATTATAATACAATTATTTTGTCGCCATCTTTTGTATTCATATAACAACGCCTTGTTAAAATAATATGTATATTCGTTTATATACAGGTTGTTCTCTATTACGATTCGTTGTCGGAAGTGACAAGATCAAAGTGGGAGCTTGCGGTAAGTACATTTTTTTGGTTCAAGTAGATATCTTCAAAAGGCACTATGTACTATGGGGAACAGCGTAAAATAAATTCTCAAAAGCGATCTGTTTTTCTTTCAAACTCTTTCTCTTGCATGTTTTATTTCCCGAAAGATGAGAATACTTCTCCTGCCTGTTGATTTCAAAGAAGTCAGATCAACAGTTGAACATGTTGTATGGAGTCTAGCATTGTCGTGCTGAAAGTGACTTGATAGGAACAATATGCGGCTGAAGAGTTTCATCACAATAGCGTTGGGTCGTTCAGTTGCCTGGCACGAGGTCTATTCTACCAGTGTGAGAGAAATTCGCCTACATTATTTTGCTGCCAAAGCCAAATCCGTCGATCTGCCGATGTCGGTGCATCCTGGCTTACCCATATTCTTAGTACGGCATAAATCCCTTAACCAAACGTCGCTGAACAATGTTTCATCGCTGTTTGGGGCATAAACTGCTTGCGGCTCAGTTGACGTCAAAACAACACTTTTGTCTGACAGGCCGTCGAGCTCTAAGACCTGCGTTACGAAGGCTGTCTGGTCAGATATCTTTCGCAATTTGAGAATTGCAAAAACGTAGTCGTATTAAGCGGACCTTGGAAGCCATTGTCACACGGGGACGGCTCGACCTGGGTCAGTCAATTGACGTGCCATGCTTTTCGTATCGATACCAGAGGAATTGATGGTGTCTTGGCACACATTTCAATATCCTGGCTACAACTGACTGCAAGTCTCCTGTTTCCCATCGACCTACGAGGTTGTTCCGTTGAGCTTCAGTGAGAAGTGGCACGACGTCACAGGTAAAACAGTTGCTGCCAGTCAAAATCACCCAACCATGAAAGCGCATAGATCCTATTGTAATGTGGTGTTACCATTCTTACTTTTGCAATATGCATGTGGTAGTTGTTGCGCTTTGAACGATTCAAACAGTGACAATTTAATTATTAACTATGTATATGAAGACAACAAGGTATGAAATATATCATGTATATTTTTATGGTTCGGGTAATGATGTCGCTCTGCCACTACTTTGAGGTCATTTCCATAATATTATGCTCCTTGCATTTGAAATAGACCAATCAGCCTCAGTTTCAGTTAAAAGTGTAGTCATGTCCTCACATTGTCATAACGCAATTACACAATATCGGTCTGTTGTTATACCATCATATTCAGTTAAAAGTGTAGTCATGTCCTCACATTGTCATAACGCAATTACACAATATCGGTCTGTTGTTATACCATCATATTGTCATATCAAAATATTACTCTATTACCATGTTGTTCTTTTGCCATATCATCGTATCGCGTGACCATATCGCTTTATGGATTTTTTGCTTCATCGTGATAACATGTCATGTTATCACCATAACATGTCGTTCTATCCCTATGTCGTGTCACGCTATCAACTTGTCGTGTCGTACTATCGCTGCATTGTCTAATTCTATTGTTTTGTCATTGTGTTTTGTATTATCGCTTTGTCGCGCGATATTGTGTGGATTTCTCGGAGCGATATGGCCAGGACCCCTCTCAGTGACCATCTTATAACATGTTAAACAAAATGCAGGAGTGCAAGTGCACTACCACAACAGGAATACTTCTGTCACACTTCTACGATTCGATTCCTGATCTAGCTTGAACGTTATTGACTGCGTCGTCTAAACACTCACTTCCAGTGATGAAACAGAACTTCCTTGTAGCCATCTGACACAAACATGGACTTTGAAACATTCTTTGTGATATATTCTCACTAACAAAACAAGGATCCTGTAAAACAAGGATGTAACATCTTGGTGTACGTGTATATGTAGGCCTTATCAGTGACAGGATGTTCTCTCCCTCAGATGTGGAATGATTTTCCCACCAGCCATCTCTGTAGACATTTAGGATCTTCATCCTTTGTTTTAATAGGAACCAGGAACCGACTATGGAGAGGATGATTTACAAGCGCTTCAGTTTGGTGGTTCTTTTGACGGTACTGCAGAGTGGCATGTGTAAGTATCTCTGTTGTGCTTTATTACCTCAGTATCTGCAATAAAAAAACATGTATCATCCATTAGATACGGATCCTTTACCAGAGTAAATATATTTTTTGAATTTATACATTAACTGTATTATTACACAGAATGACATGCCCTTTAAATCAGCTTTTCACTCAGCATCGAATTTCACACAGTAGGGGATGTCAAGTGAGTGAGTGAGTGAGTGAGTGAGTATGGTTTTATGCTGCTTTTAGCAATATTCCAGCAATATCACGACGGGGGACACCAGAAATGGGCTCCATACATTATACCCATATCGGCAATCTAACCCGGGTCTTCCGCATGACGAGCGAACGCTTTAACCACCCAGCTACCAGACCGCCTCAGGGGATGTCAAGAAACATACGTTGGAGTTACTGTTATTCAATAAAATGGAGATGACCAGATAATTGTCAATGTAGTATTTCTAACACATAACTGAATGATACGTGAATCTAACAATATAGCTTATCTCATTCACAAACAATCTTTGCACACTGTAGCCATTGAAGCTGGGGTCCCAGGCAGTGTATTGTGTAGTAATTCAAGACTGTGAGTTCAGATTGTTTCATAACCTGAGCCTTATCACCATCTCATTAGTAATCTGATATGATCTCTGTTTTTAAGTAGTAGTTAGCACCTCCTCTCCCCAAAAATCACATACAGGCGTTGATCAAATGGATAGCGCGTATTTTTGTGCTTAAATCACTTGGACATTGTTTAGCTTCATAAACTGTTTATAAGAAACATGTCAGACAGCTTTGACATCATTAAAGACTTAGTCTTATGAGATGATGTAAACATTAGGGGAAATGAGCTCAAGTAAATACAGAAACAGAGGCCCTAAAATTGCCACAGTGTTAAGCCCGAAAGTCTATTTAGGATTTAAATTATGATTAAGGAAGTCGAGGGTAGAGTGAGAACAAGATAACAAATCTTAACAAAACCTACCTGCCAAACAAGTACTAGTTCGTTAGTATCCGTAAGCCTAACAACTGCATGATTCCAAACGCAGCGTGTGTTCGTTGAAGGAAATACAGCCCCTCAGATCTTTGTTTACTGAATACACCTTGACTAATGTTCAGTGATATAACTTATTAAGATATTGAAGCTACATGGCCGCCCATAGTTTCGAGGAAATGTCCGGGCTACACTTCATGGTTTCGTGCTCAACAAATATATATGAATGTATATGATGCCTCATCTTGATGTACTTTAACAATGCAATTCGACAAAGAAGATGTACAGATGCCTCGACAACATTTTTCACACACGAATGAGTTCAACCTTAGCAGTCAACTAGTACAGGTATACATGGCTATTGATGCACATGTGTGTCAGGTTGCCCTAACCTCGCCTTCACATCTGTACACAAAACAAGTGCATTGTCTAAACTAGGCTACATATGCATTTCCTAAGCAGTTTCAATAATTCAGTGCGCTGTCACAACATGCTGTGTAGGTCTGTACAGCACAATGTATTTTATTAGTAATTGGTCGATCCTTCATAAATCATATTTTTACCATTCATTTCACATATGCCTCGGTAGAATTGGGGTAGGGGAAGGACTTCTGGCAATATATACCGGGGGGATAAAAAGGAGCAAAGTCCGGTGGTCGTCGTTGTCCAGTGTCTTTAAATTCATTGTTAGGAATTGGTGACCCGTAAATTTGGTGTCCTCCCATCTGTCAGACATCCCACTTGTTAAGACACTTTTAGTAATGGTTGATTCATTACTAATCCAATGCCTGTTACCTACGGTTTAAGTGGAGTCAATCCTTTCTTCACCCATCTGTCAGCCAGTAAGGAGTAAGGAAAGAACACCACAAACACAAAAATTTACAGCACTATCAATTCAAATGACATTAGGCATAAATAAATTAAATCAATGTCAGCACTAAAACACGCATATCAAGTATGTGATGTATTGATTTGATATATTTATCTCATACATGTACCTTGAGGAAGCGTATTAGGGCCACGGTCTAAGAAAATGTATCATCTATGTAGATGAAAGTAACATCGACGTCGTGATCGATGAAACTTTAATCTACATAGATGATATTTGGCTAACTTTTATATGCTAATTAGAGTAGGTTGGTGGCAATGTATCCTACATAATAAAATAATATGCACTTTATGTGGTTTATGAGACATCGGTGACGAATACCAATATGGGTTTTTGTGTTCTACAACTAATAAAACAAGACGTAGATTGTTGACTCATGTCTTCATTAACCAAAGTTCTGTTCTGTTAGAGCGCCTCACTTCTAATTGACGTATTTGTCATATATAATGGCTGCATTATTTTGTAAATATAATATTTAAATTCGTGTTTGATTTGTTGTGAATGAGAATGTCTGGCAATTGATTCTCATGTAACAGTTCTCTTAATTGAACAAACTTTGGGATTATCCTCTTCTCCATCTACTGGGAAAGAATATGCTCAGTTTCTTTTGTAACGCAAAGGTAGTATAGATCGATGTCATCTGCTTCAGTGTAACAAGTAATCGTTTTGTCTGTTTGAAAATACGGAAGATGTATAGATATATGCATTTACCAAGGGTACAAATCTACGTTTAAACTTCATAAAACATTGATGCATGAACATTTCCGGTGGAATTAAACTAACTGAACAGAATACGCTTTGGATAAAATGATGTTTATGAAATCACCTTCATATAATTACTTAACATTTGTTGTGTGTTCATTTAGTCCGTATCATAAGCGATCATATAGTTCATATAATTTAAGTTTCTGAACAGACAACTTGCAATTGTGAAACAAGGTACGGCGATACTAATGGCAAATTTCCCCTATCTGACTTGTCCATGTAGAGACCCATTTAAAGATACTAAACTTTTTATGCTCGAATATATACTCTTCAAAAAAGAAACTTGACATAGATGTAAATAAGTCAAACAGAACGATGATGTGTCTTTATTCGCGAAAACACATGCAAAGCACATAAACGTAGCGTTTGGGGAACAATTTTACAGCTTCATCCAAACGCAACCGCCTGTAAAAAACTTGCAGCACAGGATCCTGCATTTAGGCATGCAGGCCCCCCTGCTGAATGGGTATAAAAATCCACATCAACGGCTGTTCATACAGTCCTTATAACGGCAGTAGAGGCGGTGACAGAATGCCAAGACTGAATGCAGCCCAACGGAACAACGCCATTTGGAGATTACAAGCTAGAGCAACTCAGCAAGAAGTGGCCAGGCACTTTGGCGTATCCAGACAGACAATCTCCGCACTGTGGACCCGATACAACAACACCAACAGAGTTGACGACAGACCAAGGTCAGGAAGACCAAGGGTGACAACCCAAGCACAAGATCGATACATCCGGCTGCGACACCTCCGAGACCGCACTACCACAGCCACGTCTACAACCACACAGATCCCTGGGGTACGCAGAATATCAGATCAAACGGTACGCAACAGACTAAGGGAGGCTGGACTTTTTGCACGAAGACCTGTTCGACGTCATGTATTGACCCCACGTCATCTGGCGGACCGTCTGCTTTGGTGCCAACAGAGGGTTAGATGGGCACGTGCAAGGTGGAGAAATGTACTGTTTACTGACGAGTCCCGTTTCCAACTCACACGTGCTGATGGGCGCGCACGTGTCTACAGACGTCGGGGTGAACGTTACGCCCCTAACTGTGTGCAGCAGGTTGTCCCATTTGGCGGCGGGAGTGTCATGGTATGGGCCGGAATTCATCACGGTGGTAGGACGCCTCTCGTGCATGTGGCAGGTGTGCGTTACAGAGACTTGATCCTACAGTCTTACGTTCTTCCTCACGTCAACGTTCATGGCGGACAGTCCCAGCAGGACAACGCTCGACCGCATATTGCACGTGTTTGTCAGGACTTCTTACAGCACAACAACATCCAGACATTACCTTGGTCAGCCGGGTTACCAGATTTGTCCCCGATTGAGCATCTGTGGGACGAGTTGGATCGACGCGTTCGCAGAAGGAATCCATCGCCCCAAACACTTCCGGCGCTTCTTGATGCACTTCAGCAAGAATGGCAGCACATCCAACAGCGTGTTATTGACAACTTGATTGCATCTATGGGTCGTCGGTGTCAAGCGGTGATTGATGCACGTGGTTGGCACAACCGATACTGACATTTTCTGCACCCCTGTGACATTAACTGTATCGTGTACGTGTGTCTGTCTAGGTGACACGATTAATGTTTTGAACATTGTGTACATTGATCTTCAAACAGTGTTTCAATTATGGTTTCTGTGTCCTATTTTGAAACAATCGCATTATATTACATTTTGAAAGTCAGTGTCAAGTTTCTTTTTTTGAAGAGTATATATTATTTCAAAATTTAGAACTGATGCTTACTTTAATCATGATTTTACAATTGGTGACATTCTTTAATGTATATATGACACATTTAGCTTTTCCTATGTTAGTTATCTTATATTTATAAACATCAAGAGATTTGTGATTAAATAAGTCTTCATTACATTTAAATTATTTTTGATACCAATATCTTAATTATTTTTGATACTATTATAGCAACAAAATCATTCTGGTTTCGATATGAAAAGAATAATACCTTATATAACCATTCGATAATACAATAACACGTTGTCATAGATCCATTTCTGACTCCAAGACACGTATTATTGATATATCATGTTCTTTTATTACAGGCTTCGAATTTCCCCCACGCCACTGCTTTGAGGCCATACAAACTAAGAACTACAATTTTGAAAATACCGGTTTGTTTTATCCGAGGCTGTAATCTATCCCAGTAAGCAGATGGGCTTTTTATAACATTGTCTCAATTTAAGTAATGATAAATAAGACAATTTAATTATTGGACAGAGTTAAGAGAACTATTTTTTAAATATTTACGTCATACTCAATTTTGATAAAGGATGAAACATTCATTTTGTTCTGAGGTAGTTTATGAATTAATTGTATGGTAGGCTTGACTGCCTT